GACGAACCTTCAAACCCAAGGACAGTAAACATAATTAGTAGATAATTGTCAACGAACGATTGAGAGTAGAAAAGAAATAAAAGAATAAAAAAACAGTCAAGACAGAAAATGAGAATGAAGGAAGGGGAACAAAACAAAGGGGATGAATTTTTCTCAGTATTTAATTAAATTCAGTCCTCGGGACACGTTTTATATTGGGGTAGGATTTATTTGCTAGAACAACTCGTTTTTAAACTTTCTTATTCGCGAAGGTTATGAGCAGCAGATCAGAAGATTCATCGAAAAAAATAGTGACGTTAAATGCCATACACCTTTTTTCCCTCATATCTTTCGATCGAGATTTTTAGGAGAGAACCTTAATAAATTCGGCAAGAAAGCAATTTTTGTTTTACTCGTCCAGATAAATATACAAGCGAGAATATAGAAGATTATAAAAATTTTAAGCTTGAGGTTTTAATAAGGCGGCGGTCAGTAATTAAGTACTGATTACCATCCCAGCGGGAAGAATAACGAATTAACTACAGCAATTTCGTCGCTATAATAGTAGTAACAAAAGTCGTTTCATATCCCATCGGCACCGATCTAAAAATGTTACTTATTTAATGGAAAACATCTAGGATGTTGGGGAGGATTACTATATCAGCAGGTATCGGATTTACATCCACCTAGATGTGTTATCCGGGTGATGGAAAAATGTTTGCTCTGCGGGTGGGTATCAGCTTCCTGATGATTGATATTGCCCGAAGATAGGAATTATTTAAAACGGTAAATCTTCCGACGATATTGGAAACTGGGAATACAGGCTTTATCATTCTTTTTACTTTACCAGTTTACCTTCCCAATTATAGCGATTATAACGGGAGAAGCGTGGTTAATGGAAGAATAAATCATACTCCATTGGACCGATATAGTTATTGCGAAGAAAACTTTCTCTAACGATCAAACTACTTCGGGATATACACTGCCTAAGTTATTGATATCCATATTTCTATTCTTTCTTCCAAGTCTTTGAGCATTGGACTCGATACGGAGTAGAGAAGAGAACTTCCAGTCAATAGAATATTTACACTGACGGTATACGCCTCACGGCTTCGGGCGACAAACTCCAATGGTTCTCTATAGAAAACTTCAGCATCTTCTTTCACCGGTTAGAGCTGCCATCTGGCGACCACACTTTACCCTATATCTGAGTTTTCTATCTTCACTGACGCTTTATCTCCGTCGCTGCTTATCTGCAATTTGCATGTAAGCAATAGACCAACTTCCTCTTTAGCAGCCCGAAGCGAAGGCAAACATACAACTTTTCGTTTTTTACAACGGCTCTTAAATCGTTTCCTCGGGTTGATTCTTCCGGGAACAATAAATTGCTTGAATTGCGCAAACGAAAGTAACAGTTGAGATGAAAAATACCAACAAGTTTAGGCATTTTACAGACTACTTTTTCTTCTCGTTTCGTTTTTTCTTCTCTCTTTCTTTGCCCTCTCCAAGAAAAACAGTTTGAATAGTAAATGTTTAAATTCCATTCCACTCGAAAAACTTTTTACTTAAGGTTAAATAAATTTTATAATGATTGTACAGGATAATTGTTTAGGTTTTGTTTGGCTCCATTTGGCTCCTATCCAATTCGGTGAAAAAAACTTAGAAGAACGGACCGAACAAAATAGATGGTTCCGAATGAGTTTTAAGTAAATCGTGGCGCGATCCGTTTCCTTCCTTCGACACACGCAAAAAAAGGAAACAATTTACAAATTTTCCGGATCTTAAAACTTGTAAGATTTCCGCTAGATGTCGCCACCAGCTGATAAAGTTATCGAATTTGAATCTTACGGTTTTTTCCCCCTCGAAACATTCAAGCGGAGAGAATTATTTATAACCCTGCAACTGACAATGCAGCGTTCGAATATCGAGTTTGGAGAATATGTATGCTTGAGGAGGTTGAATTCGCTTATTAATACAACATTAACGTGTGACGAACAGATTTTTCTCTTTTCTCAAAGATTTTCGATTGCAGATGGCTTGCTATTTGTCGCCGATTCATTATTTTGTACGGGTCAGCGGCCTGGAAACTCTGCCAAAAAAAAGTCATCGAATATATCGCTAATTTACTTAATTCTGAGTAAACGTTGAAAAGATGGTGGCGAGATTAAAGAAAGAATATTTAAACGGGAGCGCGAAAGCTATTCGTACCCCCAAACTGGACACTTTCCAAAGCTGACAAAACTATACAGAGCTAATTAACGAAAGAGGAAGGAGGAGCGAGGGATAAAGAACGGTAGACGTCAAAAAACATAGGGGCAATTAGCTTAGTACGGCATAAAACGGATAACGCTTCTTCTGTTCCGTTTATGATACTGATAAATAGCAAGTTATTTTTCTTGAAATCGAGTGGAACGGAAAGTTTTCTTTCTATTTGTTACAGCATTCCACCTCAAAGTTACCTTCGAGATGATGCTAAGTAAAAAATAAAAGCTATTTCTTAGGAACTAGAATTTGTTCTGAGAGAATAGAATTCTTTTGACTGACTTAAAATAGCCTGGGTTGGTTAAGGATCGATGGGCTGGAGAAGAGACCATAAGTTTTCCAAGACCTGATTTAGTCGGTTAGGAATAATCTCCTGTGGCCCGGAGAATTCTAAATGTACTTCCCTGTCTACATAATGTCCTCTTAAAACGTTCGTAGTCGTCCATCTGTGTGACTACACCGCACAACCATTATATGCACTAACCAAGAGACTGGTGTAATACAAACTGCAATAGTATTGTCTGAAGAAGAGTATGTCGTTTTCTATTTATCCTTTTCTTCTTTACGAATATCGCCGACTTGTTTTCCCCCTTTCCTCCATTTTAATTTTTTTTTCCGTTCTGTTTTAAAACAGAGGGAGATCTATAATATTTCAAAAGAAAATAAAAAATAAAAATAAAAAATGTATACATGCCTGCAAAATTATGAATTATGCAAACGGATTCCTTAAAAGTCAGTGGGGGAAAAATTTTATATAACAGTAAATTTTTGGTAACGTACAAGAAATTTTATTATACGACATCTATTCTATGAAGCTGACCTTAATGACTCGCTACGTTGATTTCTCGATCGTTTACCCCCTTCGAAGGTTTTATGATGGCAACCAGAACCGAATAACAGTCATAGAAAACGCATCAATACGTACAGGAATCGAAAACAACTCGAAAAATCTGTCATCGAATACGATACGATCGATACGCTATTGTTTCCAGTTTTACAGAAATATTAATCAACAAAACAATAATTCATTATTTAACAAGCATGAAGAAAGAGGAAAAAAAATTCTGGAAGGCGCCCAAAAATGCAGATAAAATAATATTTTGTTTGAGAAAACAGTCATTATTTCTTAAGGTCTATTAACAACACTTTATCTTTTCAACATGAATTATAAGTTACATCGCTCCTTATCCGTGTCTTGAATTCAAAAAATAATAATAAAAAAGTTTCAACACAAATCTTAGATATATATACTGTATCTGTCATAGTTGAATAATCTAAGTACTCAAAATTCTTATGCAAAAGACAATTCGGTGCATAAGAAATGAACGAAGTTGGAAGAGAGTGGGAAGAGGGAAAGAATGGGGATGGTAGTAAGAGGGGTAAAACGAAGGGGAGAACGGGGTAAAGAGAGAGAGACGTTTACAAAAAAAAAAAAAAGAAAAAGAAGAAGAAAAGGGGGGAAAAAATTCGAATTTGCTTCTTTTATAACAACTTGCATTCTTTCTAAATGGAAGGAACAACTGCGCGATGTAATGAAAGTGTTGGCTGCGTGGCTTGGAAACATGCCAACGACTTCTGTCGTTCGTTATATACACTCAACTGCGCATGTAATATATTTTATATCCCATTTTTAATTTTATTTTTTATTATGCAAAATTACCATCATTCTACTACTCTCAATCCGATGTAGGCTAACAATAAACCCGGCCGAAGCCTGATTTATGAGAGTACCTCGTATTTTTAATGTGCAACAAGTACAATGACCGTTCGTTCCCCATTTTTTTATTTTTTTATTTTTTAAATTCTTCCATTTTAATTTAATAATAAAAATTAAAAGAATGAATAATAGAAAAAAACGAATCGATAAATATTATCGAAGTAAAATAATTTGAATAAATGTGACTTCGATAAATTATCTATTACTAACGCAACACTAACATGGATCTGCATTTATCTTAATAAGTTAAATTTAAACATTTGATCGCGAAGGAAAGTGATAAATTATGGATACTGAATTGTGCATGACAAAATTGCTTATGTGTTATTTCCATTTATATCATAATCTTCTATGCATCTTGTTTTCTTTTGTGTATTTTAAGCTTGATGATATCACAATTTCGGGTTTAGAAATGGCATTCGAACCTTGCAATCTCCTTAATGGCATATTGAAACGATAATACGAGACTAACACTTTTATACATTTATTCCTACCGAAGAATCATTGACCTCAGTTTAAATCGATAAAAAGTATTTTAAGAAAAATCTTAAAGATAAATTAAGAACTAAAGCGGAAAATGTAATGAAATTTGAAATATTTATTTTAAAACTTCGTTAAAAAATAATTATTTCGAGATCTTTTCTGAAATTAATTTATTTTAGAATTTACAGTAAACGTTTTTAATTATTTTTGTTTCGTTTGTTTATTTTCATTTTTTTGAAATCATCTCAGAAAAACATTCAATTTTATTGAAAAACTATTTTTAAAAAGTTTTGTATATAAGATAATTATTTTATAAATAATTTAAAAATTTATAATATATTTCTGCACATTCTCGTCTATATTTTTTAAGCAAAGAAAAAAAACTGAAAATATTTTTTTCCTATTAATTTTATTAAACGAAAGCTGTTAGCAGGAAATTTATATAGGTTGCATTACCTCGCAACGTCCGAAGTATCACCCACAGAATTGATCAGAATGAAGTATTGACGTTTTGATACACGTTAACGCTTACTGAATTTCTCTTTGGGGACGTACTTACCTGAGTTAGGTTCTCCTTGACGCATATGAGGACGATCAGAAGGTGCACCGTCCTCTGCTTTCACTAGAATTGCATAAGCTTGCTTCTCCTCACGATCGAATTCGATTTTGGTGTAAATCTCTCCCGTCTCTCGATCAATTGTGAAATATTTATCACCGTGATCTTTAGATTCGATTGAATAATATACCTGAATGAAGAAAAGAGAGGAAAAAAATAAGGTCTATGAATATCTGAAAGTGAAACGATAGAGGAAAACACAATGATAGCAATCCTGAAAAGATTACAACAATCTTGTATAACTGATTTATTTTAAAATGTTAGATATAAATAAAGGAAGAAACTAGTTTTTCTCAATATTTTATTCTTTAATCAAAGAATGGGATTACTTGGAAAAAAATTAGAAACAAAAGCGTTCCCTATTTTAATTCAATTTTTCTTTTTTTAATATACAGCATGTAGAGTTGAAGAAATATTCTAGCCTCCAGAAAACTTCTTCTATTTGAAGTAATAGATTAGAATGCTTCTTCGACTATAAATAATAGATAAGAACAGTACTCCAACTTCTAACAAGTATCGGTCAATTTATTATGTATTAGAAGTTTATTCATCTCTTGTTAGATTTTATATTCATATTATATTCTGAGTTATCGAAAATTATATCTATCTAAAGAGCTTTATAATAGTATTAGTGTATTTCCTCTGAGACTAAATACATTCTAGTAACAATGCTATGGAACTAATTAGCAGAACTATATACTGCATATATTATGAATATATAATATAACTATATATACGTGATAGTGAATTATTATGTTCAATCAACTAGAAGAAAATTTAATTAAAATTTAGCATCCTACTTCGCTTTTCGAAGTTGAAAGACATGTTATAAAATGGCTGTAGTTCACAAATAAATATATGTCTATGCATATGTATGTATTTAAATTACATTACTTATTAAAAGGTGTTTTTACCTCTTGTTACGTTTCGTAGATATGTATTTTGGAATGAAATGAGACATTCTGAATATTTAATAAAATGTCTTTGAATTGATATACACCAAACCAGAATTTTATGGAATAAATTTCGGAATTATTATTAGTAGCAGTGTATTTGAATGGAATCTTTCCACTAATGAATTGTGTATAATAAGAGGCCAATGTCAGTTGTGAAAGGTGACAGATGTATAAAGTGGGAACAAATGAAGCATTCAATTCTCCTAAGGTAATTACTCAACATACAGTATTTTAATTGCTTTTAAGAATTTAAGAGGATTTTATTATAGTTTTAGCAATTTATTAAAGATTGACGTCATTAAAACTATTTTAATTTCATTAACTAGTTATATTCTAATAGAATATAACTAGTTAATAAAAAAAATTATATACGTATATGACATTTCACTTTAGAACTAATTAATCTTATAATAGAGGCAATTTATTTTAAGTAAAGGATGTTAATTTATAGATAAAGGTATACTTTTAAAAAATTGCCATTTAAGTATTGTGTTACAAAGCAAAATCAAACTGACTGATATCACAGAGAAGCATTTATCAAAAACAAAATTCAATCTACAGTATCATGTTATTTGAAAATATTGTTTAAAGTAATATATCATATTGCATATTAGGAAAGTTTTAGAAATTAATAATTTAAAAATGATACTATATCATGTAATCACACTTGAAACTACATAGAAAAGGAAAATGATTTGTGAAATTTGAAACTGAATTTCCTGATTGGTTTCAATTGAACTACAAATAATCAGAAACCGCAATAAATTTATGTCTTTAAATATTGTAATTTCACTTTAAAATATTTACAACAAAATAGTTTATAGATAGAACTTATTTTCGAAAACAATCTATTAAAAGAATATGATACCGTAATAGTCCATTCACAAATAATCTCTAGCAAATTCTTCAATATAATTTGACATAAAAACAGTGAGATTTGTGATAAGGAAATCAATATTCCAACTGCACTTCTGCTATCCATCATGATCACATACCAAAAATTTTTCTTATAAGGCTTACAGTAATCTAGCCAGATCTAGTAAGAAATTGCTTCTTTCTTCAGCGTAAATGCAGTAATGGTATTTTTCGCCTCAAAGAATAAACTATATATAATTTATTAAGCATTCCTAGATAAATTAAATGTTTGCGGAAATAAATATTTATACAGCTCCTAATATTCGCAACATATCCTTTCTGCTTTTCCTAATAATATTAACATATTGATCATACTGCATATGTGCGGCAGTTTAAATTTATTCACAAAATAATCGTGGTGAGAATAATAAAAAAAAGTTTACCGAAATTATTGATATTTTTTTTATTGCCGTAATATATATTCTACCTTTTTTCCGGCAGTATCTTGGTTAAGAATTAAATAAAGTTTCTCATCATTTTCTAACCACGTCTGACCAGCTATAGCAACCATAGAAGACAATTTACGACGTGTTGGAGATATATGATGCATCTTTTAAAACGGCTAATATCGCGTTTCTACAGCCTTCGTCTTGAATTTAGAAAGTATTTTCATAGTGATATCGCTAATACGATCAGCTACAGTAGGTTTAACATAATAATTTAACATTTTAAATATATTTTTTTCCCTAAAAATATATGAGTTTACTATTGAAAGTTATTTGAAATACTCTTTTATCATATGCAAACGGATTGTTTAGTGAATTATTCAGATGCGATCCATCAAAAGAATAAAACAAAATTAGGAATGCAACAGTGTTGAATTTTTGTATTCCATATCTAACAACTTACGCAGATATTGAAGAATGTAAAAGAACATAAAATGAAAGATATATTTTAAATTTTAAATATGCGTAAACTTTATCATCAGTTCAATGTATCCCTATGTGAATGTAAAAAAAGCATTATTTGAAGTATTCGCATTCTAAGCTTTTCTCTAGTAAATAATGTCCAAAAATGGAAAATTTAATATTATTGCTAATACTAAATTTCCATAATCATACTCAATGCATTTTTCAGTTTTAATCTTCTACATAAAAGATGAAATATTAAAACTTTGGATCCAATTTTATAAGCTATTATATTCTTAATGGATTTGACAGATCCAATATCTATAGCTAACTATACAGCTAAGATTAACTAATCGATCAAGATCAATGGAATGACGATCCTGAAATAAATATACCAACATCTTGATAGTTTTCTTTTTTTTATAAAAAATAGTTTTTATCCAATTTAAATAACAAAATTATAAATATAATCTTTTAATGTCTACGCAATTAAAGTTTAAACAATTATATTATTTTACTACAGGCTACTTTTAAAATTTAATTAGACTCGAATTAAAATTGCTATTTTGGTGTATACTAAAACTACAAACACACAAAGAATTTTATTATTACAATAACCTTGACTTCATTTTCTAGTTTTTATCGTTTTTAATAAAAAAGTAAAATACAATTTTTTTATAAAACGGTTTGTGTTAAATCGTATTTTAGTCAAAAAAGAATTTTTTTAATACCTTTATTTTTAAAAAAATTATAATATCCTATTCAGAATGAAACTGCTTTGTATTCATTCACAATAGCATTTTAACCTTTACTTTCTTTAAATTGTTTACTCATTTCCAACTTTTTTCCATCAGTGTATCATTTACAAACTGCCAAATTATATTTAATACAATGTTTAATACAGTAGCTAATCATAAAAGATTAAAATTGTTAAATTTTCAACTAAACGATACTGTAACGCATATATTTCCCTGGACACTATTAATTTTATTTGTTACTGGGCCTCTATCATTTATCATTATCCTAAAAGTGTTTAAGCAAAGTTAAGCTACTATTGTAATACATTAACTGAACATTGTTAAAATTACGAAATTAAATTACTAGTAAAAACGCTGCATCAAATTAATTTTTCTTAAATTTTAAATATAATTTTAGAAAATAAGAGAACGTCACTTCAAGCTGTCACAGTAGGAAAGGACTTTGTTAAATAATTTGTAAGATATAATAAAGGACATTCACATTCAAAAGCAATGGCACAATGCCAGTTAATGAGAGTTGTTTGGTTAATAATGCGATAATTAGTTTTAATTGTAAACTTATTGCGGAGATGTTGTAATTCAGTTTCATTAGATGAAAATCTTATTAAGTCAAACTATGCAGATTTCATATCCCATCAATCAATAACACAGAAATTTTACTGTATAAATAGCTGCGTAGGCACGTCTTAGACTATGTACTAATCTATACATTATTTCTATACTCAAGAAAGGTTCTTTAATATTTAAAAATAATAATAATAATAACAACATTTTATTGTATTTTAATAAAATTATTTATTCAAATTTCGTAAGTGGTAAACATAAAATTACAAGCATGGCTACGAAAAGAAAGAAAAATTACTTATTATAATTGGATAGAAAGTATTCTGTTAATTCATTTAATGTAAGAATATTTAAAAAGAGACTTAATATAAATTGATTTTTACTAAATGAAATTTAATTACATTTAAAGTTTTGTTCGAAACTATACTTTATCTGTATTGCCAGCAATAGCACAACTCTCATTTCAAGCCAAGATCCGTTGTGTAAACTCCCAATGGCTTTAACAATACATAAATTGAAACAGATAATATTAATTACAGATCTCCACTATTGTTATGGATCAATTTCAAGATGTGACTATTATATGTAATAAACAAGTTAAATATTAAATGACAAGTTAACAATTTTATTAACTTAGATAAATAGAAAAGGTATAATTTATTTCTATATGTTATTTATTTTACTTAAAACTTATTTATTTATCTTTTATTTAATATAAAGTATTTAAAGTTATTTAAAGAATTATTTATTTACCATGAAGTCAGCTTATAGGTTATTTTTTTAATTTGAATTCTGAGCACCTTAAAATTAAATAATATAAAAACATCAAAACATGATAAACTATAAATAATATCTTTCATGTAAATTATTTTTATAAATTGAAGTCTATTTTACAGAAAAGCATTACTGAATCAGTTATAAATTCAATTCAAAATATATTTAAATAAAATAAATTTTTAAAGACATATATATAAAAGGTGGGGCAAAAGTCATTGTATGATTGATTGTAAATGTACTTTTTACAGATTTGATACATCAATGGATAAATATAGAGAAAAAAAATGAACAAAGAAAAAAGAATTTTTGTCA